AACTTCGTCTATCCAGATTTGTCGGTGAATGTATACGGACAAATTCGCATGTCAGTAGCGCGCAGCAGATCTGTCCGTCGGACGGATCCGCCGGACATGCTCGCATGTGAATAGGTCCCTTAAGACATGGAATATAAGGGAAAATGCAGCAGTACGTTGGTCCTGGGGGTTGGTAAACAAAACGTTAGTATGTTTGTGGTGAGACATCATGGTATATTAAACGAGAGGCGACCGAGAATATACGGACAATCGTATTCGTTGTGAATAACCTTGAATAAGATTATTAACAAGTGCATTTTTCTTATGTGGTCTAAACTTAGCATTTCGTGCCTCTTTAACAATACATCTTGAGGAACACCTATTTCTGGATAAATACCATCTATTCTGTATGACAGATATTTCAGAAACTTGCGTTGTATTTTTTCTAGTGAGTCACAAGTCACATAGCAGGGATTCCAAATAATTCTAGCGTATTCAAGTTTTGATATTACAAATGCATTGTACAACGTGAGTAGAGCATTTACCTGTATGCTGTCAAAATCACGAGATTTGCGCAACACAAAACCCAGACTTTCATTTACAGAATTTAGAAGATAATTTATATGCAGATTGAAACTGAAGGTTGTGTCAAAGATGACTCCAAGATCTCTGAACTCTCTTAGAATTATGCGTGACGACATTTATAAGATACATGAATAGCTTATCAACTTTCAACTAGTTGAGTTCCCTGATTTTATCTGTAACATGACTAAACTTATGCAGAACAAAGATATACCTGCTGTAGCTTTTTTTGTATTTTGTCAAGCTTGGCTTTCTGGAGATAGAGAAAATAGTAAATGTACCCTTAATTTTTCTTGATATCATTTTGTATATCCCTGAAGTGTGTTTTATCTGGCAACTTTTCAAGAAATCCGTATACAAATTTTTCAGCGAAGCCATCCGGAGCTCAACTACAGCAGTAAGCGACAGCTACATTACTCTAGTCTAGACTGAGTTAATATTTACCGTCTGCTCCTGCATCCGTGCTCCATACGGCCTCAATTTTTTTGCATTGACCCTGGATATCTAGCCTAAGCTATCTAGAGTTTAACCAACCGATGAAAAAAATACTGTTTTTGAGGAAGTCAAAAGCCTACTCGACAAATGTCAGTGCCCCGAGATCGTCGCGCTGCGGTGATTCGTTAAAAAACGAATTAGTAAAAATAAACACTGGAGAGAGACAGAAATGGTTCTCAGACCATATCTCCGTTGAAAAGTGTCAGTAACGCTAACAATCTAATTCACTTTATATAGCCCGGGATCCCATAAACCGCAAATGTCCATCATACCGGCTGTTTCAAATTTGACTCTCCCCATTGGGATCTCGGAAACGGTAAGAGATACGAAGTCGGTTAAATAGGGACAAACATTTTATTCTTATTATTAATGAATACAGAAATGAGCAAAGTACAACGTACTGTGAATCCATATACAAAACATTATACAGAATATGAATAAGCAATGAAATATCCAATAAGATCATTGTACCATTTGTCGTGCGTATTTTGAAGTTCTGGACTGACGTGGCACTGACTAGGTTTGCTATTTTTAGCTGGTAGCATTCTTAGTACCAAAAACACGATTAGGAATGAAATATCAGCGGATTGATGTGCGAAAAGTCTCCTTCTTACTGCGTGACATCTGGAACATGTACGAAAAGTTGGTTCCGAAGAGGCCAAGTGTTACACCCAGAAAAAAATAATTTCTTCAAATTGATTTTCTGGCAATGGGGTAGTCTTACATCGAGACTGAAATGATAACATTTTCACGAAATCTTATTGACAAGTAATAAGAAAAAAGTTAATAATGAGTTGGTCGACCCCGCAGCTGAATACACTCCTGTATAGGTCTAGGAATCAACAAAATTAGATGATTGATATCTGGTTGTGGCACATCATTCCAAGCAACTCGAACTTGGATTAGCTGTGGCAGTGCCACACGTTCGATGGGATTTAAATCCGGTGAACGGGGTGGCGACGGCAAAACATTAACGCCTGCTTCTTGGAGAAAGTCCGTAGTACGACGACCAATATGGGGACGTGCGTTATCTTGCTGAAAAAGGACGTGTGGACGAGAGAAGGGATGATCCATAGCTCCCCAACCATTACTCCAACAACCTGCGTATACGCCTCTCTACAGCAAATCCAATATCACGCCGTTCTCCAAGGCGGCGTCTTACCCTTCTATGACCATTGTGCGTACCTAGACAGAATCGCAATTCGTCGCTGAAGATGACATATGCCATTCTACCTCCCAATGCTGCCGCTCTCTGCTCCAGTTCAAACATTGACGAGGCAGCACTAACCGTGGACCGTATGAAAAAAGTCCAAAGGCTCGAATACGGCGAAAGAATGTCCGCATAGTAAAAAGTCTACCTTCTTCTCCAAACCATTGGTCAGTGATCTGACGCGTAGTAGCAAAATCGTATCTTAGGGCTATGGAGTAGACAAGCATTTCATAGTCTAATAAAAAAATGTGAGTCCACATATTCGCTGCTTTCGCAGCATTCTCAAGAATTGGGCTAAGATATCTTGGTCTGCACCCTTATAAGATCAAGTTAACTCAAGAGCTAAGGTCGGTCGATCATATGAACCGAGGTACGTTCTCGAATTGGGCTCTAGAAATGTTGCAAGAAAATGACCAATTTCATCGCAAAATCAATCTTCAGAGATGATGCGCATTTTTGGCTAAACGGCTTCGTCAACGAACAGAATATATGCGTTATTGGTCAGGTGAAAACCCTCATGTGCTCCAAGAAACACTTCATCCACAAAAAATAACTAACTGTATGGTGTGGTTTTCATGCCGGTGGTGTCATTGAGCCGTATTTTTTCGTTACAGACAACGGAGATCGCTACACAGACATGTTGCAACGTTATCTTTTTTTTGGTAATTGGATGGGCTAGACATCCACGATATGTGGTTTCAACAAGACGGTGCCTCAAGCCACACAGCAGGTGAAACAATCGACATATTGAAATGAAAATTACTTGAACGTATTATATCGAGAAATGGCACTGTCGAAGGACCGCCTAGATCGTGTAATTTAACAACTATAGACTGTTTTGTGGGGCTACATTAAATTATTGGTCTATGCGAACAAGCCGGCGTCGTTCGAGGGTTCAACGAATCGATCGCTGCGAACGTGCTGGTGGTGGATATATGAACGAGGTCAAATTCCATACATAAATATTTTGAGTATACTTCAATCCTCTAATAAAATTTTCGAGATATCTCAAATGGTTTGCGTTTGATTTAAAAAGAAAGTTGTCAAGTCCTTAATGGAAAACCCTAGGTTAGTGGAGTCGGCATAAACAGAACACGTAGATAAGATCAGTGCAAGTAAATCACTAGTGCATAACAGATAAAGCTCAGGGTTCAAGACGGAACCTTGTGGAACGCCGCTGGTTACGCTATTAGCATATGACTCTCACTGACACATATAGAATAAGATCTACCTATGAGGAAATTTTTCTGTCCATAATCCTTTGATTCCTAGATGCTCTAGTTTGGGAATCAGCCGTTCGTGCAGAATTACGAAACTAAGAATAAAATTTCGCCATTCCAAGTATTTCCTCAGATAGACAAAAGAAACCCAGTTTTCCCAAAATCGTTTTATCGTTTTAATTCTATTTATTCTCATTTTTGTCTTGTCCATGGTTTTAATTGAGCGATAGTATCAAATCCAATACAATTTGTAAATTTTCTGGTGGAAAATAAAATTTTTAAAAACATTGAGATGATGTCATGATATCCAAACCGTGCAATGGCAAATAGTAATTTGCTTCAATTTCCGATAATATTGGGAAGACGTTGCACAGTCGTTATTGCTCCCGACTGTACATGAGATACCAGACTGTGAAAAAGTTGCAGTAACGCTAACGATCTAATTTATTTTATAGCTGTGTTGTTGTAGCGTACCGTACGCACGCGTCCGATGGCACTTCCGCTTATTGTGATTCCTGTTTCGTAATTTTCTGCATGCCCTGCCGATTACGGAAGCGCGGCGGTGCACCGAAGCGCCCTATTATGACGTATGCTGCTACTTCGGAAATTGAATTTCTGTTAATTAAATCCGAAACGTGCCGAACACTGTAAAGCTCAACAGCATAGATCACAATAAGGATATAAGAATGTTTCAAACGTTTTATTTCGGACTTCTATTGTCTATGCAATTTTTGAGATCACGATGTTTTGATTGATGCCTTTGATGATTTTAAATAAGGCGTTAACACATTATGTTACCTTATCATATACGAAGGAGTACCTAACATTTCCAACTTTTGATGAAAAGGATTTTCCTACCTGTGCAATGCGTCAATGTTTTTTTTTCAGCTGTCAACACATCGATTTTAATAGTTTATTTACACTATACCTTGTACCCAACTGGTACATACAAGCGATGTCTTTTAAGTTTTGCATATGGAAATAAAATAACACGGTAGGTAGTTCTTAATGACTTTATTGTTTTTTTGAAGTATTCTCCACGAAGATTAATCCGTTAAATACTGCCTTGTTTTTTGGGCTGTGTGCGAGCTTGCATTGTCTTGGTGGAGGATGATTCTTCTTTCGGGGTTGATTTTTCGAAGCTCGGTGATGACTTTTGGCAAACCAATGGTGGTATACCAATCCGCAGTAACAGTTCTTTGCTCATTAAGAGGAATTGTTGCAATATGACCCGCTTTTGACACAAATGTCGCGACCATCTTTTTCGAAACACTTCGAGAACGGATGACTTTTGTTGGCTTTTCTTCACCTTGTAACACCCAAACAGCCGACTGTCGTTTATTTTCTGGTTCATAACAGTAAATCTATGATTCATCACCACTAACAATGCTGTACACATTTTTTGAGTTTCCGGAATTGAAACGGTCAAGCGTTTTTTGACACCAATTAACCATGACTGCTTTCTGCTCTTCAGTCAACAGGTGGGGTATCCAACGAGAAACTAATTCTCATACTCATAATTCTTCATCTAAATTTTTTTGAATTGAGGTCTTTGAGATCTTCAAGGACGCCTCAATCTCGCAATATGTCACATGTCTATCTTCAATGATGAGTTTGCGCACAGCATCGACGTTTTCCTGGGTGACTGCCGTTTTTGGTGCACCCACCCTGGGATCGTCGCTAAGACTCACCCGTCCACGTTTGAATTCTCCATACCAACGGGAAATTGTCGACTGATGTGGCGCTTCGTTGCCGAAAACAGTCAGTAACTCATCAAGGCATTCTTGTTGCGATAATTGTCTCTGAAAGTTGTAATAAATTATGGCGCGAAAATGTTCTCGGTTGAGTTCCATTTTTCTAATGACTTGGTGACACTTAAAAATTCACTGTACTGAGTACACTGCACGTATTGTTGCGAAACTTTGAATTTAAGTTTACTAAAGAGTGAGGTTAAGATTCAGTACTGACGTTCGATCCGCGCGGCCTACTGTTTCTATATGCAAAACTTAAAAGACATCCCTCGTATAGCACAATGCAAGAAAATCAAACAATCAAAATAAAATAACCGAAACAATCTAAAACAAAACCAGAGTTTGAAAGAGTTGACACCTGTGAGAAATGCCAAGGTTGTCAAGAACGTCTAATAACGACTTGGTTGTGCCTGTTTTTATTCCTCTCTAATTAGACGCAGCCAGTATTTTCATTAGTGGCGGCCGTAATAGTGACACCACCATCGCATGCGTATATGTCAACAGTGGTGTCAAAATACTTCTTGCCAATAATAGTGCTTGGTCGTATAAGCTCTTCGTTAATTAACAATTACTTCATAATTCACGCTATGCAGAACTAATACTCACTGTAAGCAAGGGGCTATCCGATAATCCGATCCACATGTATTGTTAAAACTACCTAATTGCGCATTATGTACTGGTTCGTTAGCCTATTAATTAAATGATAATGCATTTGCTTTAAACTGCGTACGCGTACTAAATAATAAAATTCCAATAACTGCTACATAAACAATTTTCGCTCCACTAATTTATCAAAGTACGGTTGTTCCAGGATTTTTAAAATATAAAGTATCACAAAAAACAGTATTGTTAATAACGCTACATGATTTATGGAGAATACTTTTGTCAGAATCGCATGGTTTTATTATTTTACAATATTTCCACACATAAAATGCAAAAATAATAGATTTTTAGATCAATGCAACTGCTTCCATTTTGAGAAAAGCTGAAATAAAATTGTTTCACTTTGCAAGTATTTTTTTATTCCTATATAATAAAATTGCAAAAGAGCCATATGGATTATTCTGTTATTATTAAATTAAATAGCATCAAGTAGGTTGACTACACTTCCCAGGCAACGCCGTCACCAGTTCATAAAAGATTATGTTCAGCACAACTTAGACTCAGATACCGCAGAGCACCAGTCATGCAATGACACATTCATACATCGGCACGCCGGCCGCTGAAGTCAACCGATGCAGTCGAAAACATGGTTATATCGTTCTAAGTGTTAAGCGTAGAATTACCGGCGTTAGAAGTGCATTAATATACTAACATAAGAAAATTGCGATACATTTACCCCTCTACAATCAGGGGGTGGGGAAAGTTTTAATATTTTTGTACGTTTTTGACATTTTTCTCCACCACCAGTGGACCGATTTTCTAAAACCACAAAGCATTTGTTGTCCTTGGAATATGTGTAATATTGTGTAGAAATTTCATCCAATTCCGTGTTGTACTTCTCAAGTTCTAGGCGATCGAAAGGTTATCGGACCGAAAGACAGACAGACAGACGAACAGACCGACGGAAATGTATGCCATATAACATCCAAAAAACATAATATCTCATTTTCGAAATTTTTCGCGATTACAATATTTCGTCCCGTGGCGTAGGAAGTGAAACTGTTTTCTTAACAAGTCACCTCCATAATATATAATGCTCTTCGTTATACCTAATCTGATTTTGTTTAATTTTTCTAAACGGTGCAAAAACGCATGTCAAATTGCGGTTAATGATGATAAGCACATTTAAGGGACAACTAATATGAATTTCAATTACAATATCAATAGCCAGTATTGTACATCTAATGCACGAATAATCCATTTCTGCCTCCATATATTCACATTAAACTGGTCGTAAAAAAGAAAATATCAGTCGCAAAATTATGAAATACACTCAAACACTGACGTGCATTTGAAGCCAACGGTTTATCAGGTATTATGTGTTGTTTCATTTTATTCACTCCATTAATTCGGTTTACTGCTGCTGTAATTGCATTTACTATGCATGCGACAACCAAACAGAGAGTATACCTAGATGAGCCGAATACAAAATTTGCACAGTTTCGTAGAACTGTAGAGGTCAGATAGATTAGAGTAGCGTGCAAGAAATGGTTTGTAGGACTCTTACAAGATAGTATGAATGAATAAATGAAATTTAGCCAGCCAGCGCGTAGGCCACATAACGGGCCCTTATGCACCACTACATTCCATAAGTCTCAAGCTCCGCCCTTCGAGCAAAGTTGAATATAGCCCTGAGTCTCAGCTCCTTAACATTCAGGAGATACAAAGTGTTAGACGCCAGTATAGTTTGCATGTAGTAGCTCAGAGCCTCGCAACGAAACAGAATATGCGCCGAGGACCCTTCCTCTACCACGCAGTGCTCACACATGCACATAGCCAAGATGAGCTACTGTGCCTGACGGAGATGTCTAAAGATGCTTCTTCATTTCAGAGAGTGTTCCACTTCTCCATTACCTTCCTGTCTTTCTGCACGGAGACCCCTAGGGCTGCCTCAGGACCAACAAGCTTTCCCGCTGATCCTGCTTTCGCGAGAGTGTCCGCCATATGATAACACTTTATCCCAGCGTGTCCCGGTACCCCCACTAACGATACCATATGCCTCGCTTTCACTCAATTCAGAGCGTCTCTGCATTGCAATATAAGGCTCGAAGTAATCTAGTCATCGCAGCCTGGCGGTCGGAGAAGTTTTTTATCCTTCTCCTATGCCCTTCCCCTCCCAAAATACGGGATACGCAAGCCAGAATCGCATAGATTTCGTTCTGTAAAATAGTGGTGTATTCGCAGAGAGGTAGAGAGAGCCAAAGAGCCTTGACCAATAAAACTGAAATTTTCTACCCTCGTCTGGTTTGCGTGAAAATACAGAACGAATTAACTGCCGCCATTTTTAATCCAATATCGCGAATCCTACAAAATGGCGATTCATCATTTCCAAAGCAACATCTATGATAAGGGTATCAAATGAGGGAGCATGAAGAAAGGAACATAATAATCAAAGTGACGTCATTCTGACTCCATTGTGGCGGCTGCTACAAAATAGCGATTAACACATTTCATCGACCTCTACGTCATGGGTATCAAATGAAAGGGCTTGATGAGGGAACATAATAAGCAAAGTGACGTCATTCTGCGTCCGCCGCTGAAGTTACTAAGCTAATAGTTTTAGTGAAAAAACATAATGATTCTGATTCCTACCAAAATGGGGGCTATTTCAAGAGTATTTTTACCGTAGCGTTTTGCTTTTGAAGAATTTGAGTTATCTTTAAATTTTCATCAGCGAAAAAGACCCTTCACATTCTTTTGTCAAATGAAAAACTAAACACCATTTCCAATGAATGGAGAAGAACCAAAAAGTGCTTGTTACCCTGTATACATTATGTAATAGGACTACAACTTACTCAATATTCTGTAAAATGCACCATTCGAGAAAAAGGTCAATTATATTTTCTCTGCAGCTTCTTATTTCCACTCAAGTTTTCCTCCGTGACAGGAAACATTTTCCAATTGAATTTCGCAAGCTCTTTGCGAGACATCCCCGCCCTTTTAGTTTTCACTTGACAGAATGATATGTTACAACACCAAAGCGCGAAGCCATACATTTATTTTATAAAGCAACGATATTTTTTAGCTTGCTATACATTTTTCTCATACGCGAGACTAATAGTTTTACGCATACAGGGTGTACCACGTAGTAAGTACCTTAGCAATCGATTACTCAACAGCGCACGACGTTCAAACTCGCGAACTCTTATGCGCCCGTGGGCCAGGAATGCCTGAACAGAACCATCGAGTGCACATGTTTGTTTTTACTGCGGAGATGGAGTAGGAATAGGGTTTAAATAAGATAACTGTTGGCGAGGAGCAGCATAATCAAAATACATATTCCCACAAAACTCTTATGGAAAATGTCTTCCTGCTATTTTTGAATAAATTGCAGCACGCTGCTATTCAGGAAAAACTGTGAAGTCTTATACACTTCTGCTTTTCTGGTTGGGGTCTAAACATTTTCGTAAACTTATCCGAAAGGAATTTCTCCTTAGAGTTCATGTCCAATAAACATTTAGTCTTAACAAATAATTGAAAATAGATTTTTGAGCGATTCTTAAGCCGCATAAGAATAGCTGCGATGTCCAAGTTTACTCCTGTTAGGTGACGCTAGTGTAGTCGGAGGTGAAACTGTCAAAAGTAGAAGCGAACAATGGCGCCAAGTAGATTGACTCTGCACCTTCTAAGTAACGCTGTGATTAGTTCATAAAGGATTATGTTAAATTAGGTGTTAAAATTAGCTGGGTAATGTATAAACAAAAAAATAAATGGATCAAGTTAGTCAAACAGGCTCATACAATTAAATTTTCCATATTTAGCATGGTTTTCTGTACAATTCTACAATTCTGTAGGATTTGGTTCCCTGAGAAAATATGCTACACATCTTGCTCTTCAAAAAGTTTTGGGCGAAGGTACGCCTTCACACAAAGTTATTTCTTGCTGATGGATGGCGGTCCTCCCTCCTGCAGACGCACATGATCTAAACTACTTCTGACGTGGATGACGATGGACAGTTCGACAGTACATATCTAGTCGGCAGGCCGTGAAGCACGTATGATCGATACGCGAGGTTCGAAAATACTTCTGCATCCCTCCTAGTCTTAAGTATAAGTCCAATAGGTGAATCACCACGGCTGGAGACGTTAAAATATACAGCGTTAAAAAATTGAGACATATGCTTCCCACCTCCCAATTTTGTAACCATGAAAAATTTTTCAAAAATAAAACGAAGTGTGAGCGATTTTTATTTGTTGACTTTTTTGCCCCTAGCTCAGCAGCCACCGGATAGATTTTTAAAAACTATAAAGCTTTTTCGCTCTTGGCATAATAGTAACCTTGTGTGAAAACATGATCAAAATCTGACTGGTATTTTTCAAGTTATATCGGCGTTAAAAGTTAGCGGATAGACAGACAGACTGACGAAAATGAGCGCATTGTTTTTCGTGACGTAATAATATTATAGTTCGGCTAATAACCATAGAAGTTGACGCCGTCAAAAAA